GCACCACACACGTCAGAGTCACTGCTGTACTGAGAATGATCCACCACCCAAATAACATCTGGATAACAGTGTTTCTGTGGTCAGAAACTGACCAATGATGAATGCTGTAGAGAGGGACTGACAACACTGTGAAGCAACAGATGGGCTACAGTCTGTTACTGTACGTCTACACTCTTAAAAAAGATGGTTCTTCAAGGGTTCTTTAGTAAAGGCAACAGTTCTGTTTAGAACCATGAGTTCTTTATAGAACCATTTCATGGTTAAATGGTTCTTTGCATTGTAAAATATTTCTGCAGATTAATATAGAATGTGTTGTATTTAGTTCCATAGAGAACCTTGGTTTTATATAGCACCAAAAAAGGGTTCTTCTAAGCTTGACACTATAACAATAGAACAACCCTTTCTTAACTGGTTCTTTTCATGATGAAAAAGTTCTTCAGATTGACGGAGAATGTGTTCTATAGCTTGACATCATAAAAATAGAAGAATGCTTTTTGGTGCTACATTTTCAAAAGCCAAAACCCAGGAGTTCTTAATAGAACCATTTCCTGCTTAAATGGTTCTTTGCACGGTTCTTTAGACTGATGGAGAATGTGTTGTACATGGCTTTTGAAAATGGTTCTACATAGCACCAAAAAGTGTTCTTCTATTTTTATGATGTCAAGGTATAGAACTATTTTCAAAAAGTTCTACACAGAACCACTTACAACACATTCTCCATCAATCTGAAGAACCTTTTCACCCAACAAAGAACCATTTAAGCAGGAAATGGTTCTATGAAGAACTCATGGTTAAATTAAACCATTCCACTTACTAAAGAACCCTTTGAAGAACCGATTTTTTAAGAGTGATAGTGAACCTATAAGTTAGGGGTTTCTAAAAAAGTGGTTACTGTGTTCAATACTGTACAGAAGTCAAGGACAGTTAACGGAAATTTACAGAAAAGAAGCTTCAACACTAAATATAATTTGTTTGTCAGTATTTAGTAGGGGTGGGAATCTTTAGGCACCTCACGATTCGATTCAATTACGATTCAGAGGGCTGCGATGCGATTATAAAACGATTATCAATGCATCTCGATGCAACTTTTGTTCTCTATACAGGATTTCTATCTTCCTACTGTCTGAGGACTTGATAGTTTTAAAGCAAAGTATTTGTAATGATCCATAATGTAAATGCATTATGGATCATTACAAATACTTTGCTGTAAATATCTAAAATATCTTTTATTAATAAATCATAACTTCGGTTTTGGTCTCGTTGTAGAGAGAGAGTGTGTGTGTGTGTGTGTGTGTGTTTTGGGGGTTGCTCCAAAGTGTGCAGCATAGCGCAAAAGCCCTGGTTCTCAACGACTGAGAACAATTTTCCCGTTCCACCTTAAATGGTGCAGCAGTTACATTCGGCGCCTCAGGCAGAATTTAAGGTGGAACGGGGAAATTAGAACGAGAAGCTGGCGAATGAGAAGCGACTTCAGCCTCGTAAACCAGCCGGATGCTGAGACATTTTACAAGAAACTCTTCTAGTTTTGAAGAAAAGTTTTCTGGCGGAGATGGGAGGAAAGCTGGCTATAGCTAAAGCTTAAAGCAGAGTGAAGTAAATCTGCGCTCTCGTTTATATTTTTAGCCCATACTAGGACATTAACACACACTGAGACATACTGGGCATTAAATGTTGTGGCTCCCAAGGTGGTTTGACTTTGTTGAAAGGACAAAATGGCTCTTCTTATCATTTGTGTTGTGACTCCTGACCTCACCTGGCTTTAATGCAGAGGGAGCCGGTCGGATTTCTCGCTCATCCAGTTGTGTTTTTGTTATGTGCCGCCACAGACTGTCCGGGAGCTGCACTTCCGAACTTCCAGTTCCGCCTTTTGCATTCCGTCAACATTACGTTATAAATTAAATATTTAGAAAATCAATTTTTGACATTTATGAATCGATTCAGAATCGTTCACGTCCACATCGCGATGCATCTAAGAATCGAGTTTTTCCCGCACCCCTAGTATTTAGTGTGTGCACTCTTTGCCTTTTCTACAGCTTCCATTCTTTTCAGGAGACTTGCTTCACTGTTAAAAACGAGAGGCCAGCTCAACTCAGAATGATACAGTAACTGATTACATGGCTTTTCTTGAGTTGACTCAGCTTGAGGACATCAGAGTTGACACAACTCAAACTTCTTAATTGAGTCAAAAGCTGTCTTAATTTCTCAGTTCTGCATCTCAGTGAGGTCAATAAACTGAACTTGTTTTTTATACTCAACATCCCCACTAACCAGAACTCTTCCCATCACACAATCCTGCCAGACATTTTTCCTCCTAGAGACACACTTACAGATGGCTATGGCATCGCTGGGGCTCAAACTCACAACCTCCTGTTGGGGTGATGGCTTGATCCACTGCACCACATGAAGCAACTCAGATTTTGTGTCTACAAATGTTTAATACACTTGAGAAAATATTAATTGTTTTAACTTTAAAGCATGGCATCATTTCATGTGGTGCAGCTGTCTAATAATTCGTCTCAACATCAGGACGTTGTGAGTTTGAATCCCAGCAATGCTACAGAGAAACTGAGTAAAAACACAAATTAATTTTTCATTCATAGTTTTAAGTGCTGTTTATCTGATGGGGACAGTGTTTGTGCTCTACCAGTTGTTATGAGTAAATAAGTAAGTAAGAAAGAAAGAAAGAAAGAAGGACCCAAAATAAAAAGAAAGAAAAACTACATAAAAAAGAAGAAAAGAAATAAATTAAAAAAACGAAGAACGAATGAAAAAATAAATATAAAAGAAAGAAATAAAAAGGAAAAAAATCACTGAAAGAAAGAACGAAAGGGAGAAGAAAAAGAAAGAAAGAAACAAAGAAGTCTCTCTGTATCTTTTAATCATACTTTAAACTCCAGTTTTGGAAACTCCTGTTCCTTTATCTTTCCCCTTCCTTATGCAGGTAGATTATCTTAAATGTAATCTCCTCGCAAATTACATGAAAAATATAAATGAATGTTGTCCTCTGACTTCTCTGTGTACTGAAGTTTGGATGTGTTTCTAGATGTTTCCAGACAGTGTTGGTTTTAGTTATACTGTCCTTGCTTATTCTTATAGATGTTTGATTTGTTTTGGTGCTTGATGTGGTAATAAAACTTATTACTAATTAAGCAGTTAGATCATTAGATCTAGATTAGATTAGAACCATCTGCGACTGATTTGTCACTGTAAGTGTAAGTAATAAATATTACATAACTAACATTAGATACAACGTTACATAATACATTTGAGTACAGACGTCTACATAATACTGCTAATGACTTTTTAGGTAGTTGTCAATTGGAAAGATCCAAATTTTCCACATATGATGTTGCTCTGAGTCTCTCTCTCTCTCTCTCTCTCTCTCTCTCTCTCTCTTCTCTAAAGCACCAGGCTGAACAAAATGCTGAGGCTTTACTCAAACTGTCTAAAGCAAACGTGTAAATGTTGGAGAAGCTAATGAAACTGAAGATGGTTAAACGGAGGGAAGCCTTCATTATCTCGTTAGTGATGGACATCAATCTGCCTCGGCCGACACATTAAATGGACATTTGGTACAGAAATGGTGGATAAAATGCTGCACCAAACACGGCATGAAATTCAACATTGGATTTGACAAAAAGGCCAATTACACTGTGTACCAGTCCTGTATCCTGACCATGATGGAAGCATGGGTTCTCTCAGGCTCAGTGTGAAAAGATTACCTTCAAAATGTTGTGAAATGTAAGTATTTACAGTGATTCAGTTCTATGATTTGGGGAATTACCTATTAATTATCCCACACATCACGCCCTCAAGTTCTCCGTTACCTCCCCAACTCTGATGAAGTTCATTTAAACTGCTGGAGTAAATACAGTTGTTTTTCATGAACCTCAAATGTCCTCAACTGAGGAATGTTTCTGTCCTCTAGTGCATCATCTGGTCATCTGAGCATCTCTAACAGGACTGTCACAGGCGATTAGGGCCAGAACAACTTGCCTCGGCGTCGCAGAGAGCATGGGGTGTTCATCACAAGAGCGTCATCCACAAGTGCAGTCAATGGGCGTTGTTCAGCTGATCCTGCTCAGCCGCTTCACCATGTAAGATTCATTTGATCTGCCGTGTTTCTCAGTGAAGTGTCCATTCATTCCTGTGCTTTTATTTTCCCTCTAAAACTGTAAAGACTCTCATCCTGTTCTTTTTCCTCCAGATATAGTCAGTGTAATGATACTGAAGCTTGTGTGTGTGTGTGTGTGGTAATCTGTAGTTCTGCTTTGGTGAAAGATGTACTTATTGTGAGTTTGATCGTGATGATGAGGTACGATTAAAAAAATCTAAACAACTGTAATAAAACAATGCAAACATAATTATAATTATACCTCTCCTATCAGTATATGTTACAAAAAAGATGTAAAAAAAGAAAGAAAGAAAGAAAGAAAGAAAGAAAGAAAAAAGAAAGAACAAAAAATGAAAAGAAAGAAAAACTACATAAAAAAGAAGGAAAGAAATAAATAAACAAAGAATAAATGAATAAAGATATATAAAGGATAGAAATAAAAATAAAAAAATCACTGAAAGAAAGAAAGAAAGAAAGAAAGAAGAAAAAGAAAGAAAGACAGAAAGAATGGCAGAAATAAATAGAAAGAATGAAAGAAAGAAAGAAGGACCAAAAATAAAAAGAAAGAAAAACTACATAAAAAGAAGGAAAGAAATAAATAAACAAAAAACAAAGAACGAATGAAAAAATAAATATAAAAGAAAGAAATGAAAAGGAAAAAAAATCACTGAAAGAAAGAAAGAAACAAACAAACAAACAAACAAACAAATAAAGGAATGACAAAAATAAATTGAAAGAAAAAAGAAAGGAAGAAAGAAAGAAGAACTAACTCACCTCAGCCTCCGCAGCGGCCCTTCATCACTCGGTACACTGGCGCCCTCTGGTGGACGACATCCTAAACCGCATCCAGCTGAATTTCTACCCCCGTGAGTGTTGAATATCCGGTGCAAAGAAAAATGGCGGCGCCCTTGTAAATGTCATGTTGTTGAGCTCCGCGGTTTTGTCGGTGAAAGCTGGTCATCATTTCTGATAAGTCAGAGAAATTCAGACGCTTTTCTTCAAAAACAGAAGTACAGTAACTACATGCAGCGCGCGGATATCTGAGGTATGAGCTCTGAGAAAGAACTGTGAACACGGCTGGCTGGAGATGGAGCTGCTAGGTTAGCTAGCTCATAATACTGTGACAGGACTGATGGACGACAGCTGCAGTCGTTTTATGTGTTTTTACTAAAATAACGTATACCTGCTCCTTAACACTTAATGATTAAGTCATTACTTAATTTTACTTAACTGTTTAAATGTCTAGCTTGTTACTTTGGCTAAGTAGACACTTTCCTTCATATTTTACAGGGATAGAAACACCATGGTCCATTTAAGTAAGTATTCTGAGCTTTCATCACATATTGTCTCAGTTATGTCATGTAAGATTAATCGTTTTCTTAGATTTGAAGGTTTCTTACCAATATGTGCTATTTAAATTATTTTATTACTGGTCTGAGGTTATAATGTGTTCACTGGTTCAAACCCAGAACTGTCTCAAAACTAGCTGTGGCAAGATATTTAAATAATGGAAAATATAGATGTTTTATATAGATGCATACATTTTTGCATATATTTTTCCAACTATAGTTTTTTTCATATTCACACAATGACGTATATATGTTTGTTTATGTGTATGTGTATGTATTTGTTTCATGTCTGCTGTACCGATTACAACAGCATCATTATTACTCAAAAAATACCATGGAGGTCATGTGGTCATCCGACTGGCACTTGGGGGGGCCACCAACAGACCGTTCTACCGCATAGTGGCTGCCTACAACAAACGGGCACGTGATGGCAAATACATAGAGCAGCTGGGATCGTATGACCCTCTTCCAAACATCTACAACGAAAAGCTTGTCAGCTTCAACTACGACAGAATTAAGTACTGGATGGGTTGTGGAGCTCATCCAACCAAACCTGTGGCCAAACTTTTAGGTGATTATTCACTCCGGCTTCTTCATTCTTAGATGAGAGTGTCTGGTTAGTGGGGTTGAGTGATATGACAGTCATACTGAATAACACAGTGTTTAAAGTAATCACAGTGTTTCATAATAACAATGAAAAGAAATGATGCCCATTTCCACATAAAAACACCCTCAGGGCAGTCCTCCACTCACATACAACACAATCTAAAAAACAACAGTGTCTGAATGTTAATCCTGCTATCTAACACAGTAGAGTGGTGCTGGCACTAGCTTAGCTAGCAGGCTAAAAGATCTAAATGCCACACAACAGGTTGGATTTCAGCTAAATGAAAAAATAAATATAAAAGAAATAAATAAAAAGGAAAAAAATCACTGAAAGAAAGAAAGAAAGGGAGAAGAAAAAGAAAGAAACAAACAAATAAAGACAGACAGACAGGAAGAATGGCAGAAATAAATAGAAAGAAGGAAAGAAAGAAAGAAAGAAAAAGAACTAACTCTTGCCATCTAACACAGTAGAGTGGTGCTGGCACTAGCTTAGCTAGCAGACTAAAAGATCTAAACGCCACAAAACAGGTTGGATTTCAGCTAAAGCCAGGCACTAATCTTACCAGGTTTCTTAAACAAGCATCACACACTTAGTGCCAGTCTTTTACAGAATTTGGGTTTTGTCAGGAGGACACGCACACTCCCGAACGAAGCCCACATCTCACCATTATTATGTGCTGCAAACAAAGCTAGAACTGGAACAGACTTTAGCTTGTTTGTGCTTTTATGCACACATAAGAAGGCAAACAGTGGATGAATGTGTTGTAGTGAAATGTGGATATAATTTTGCAGTGAGAACTGGACAGTGAGTGTGTTTACATGCACCCAATAATCCGATCGTAAACTGATTTCTGCGGTTATTTTATTATTTAAATGGTCATGGTAACAGCACAGTCCGATTTCTTAGATTGGAATAAGGTCTAGAAATCCGATTAAGAAATCTGATAAAGTGAGCTCAGTAATTTTAGCTCAGTAATCAGATTTCTCAGTGCATGTAAACTCTTACTCTGATTTCTTTCGGATTTCTCTGTTCATGTGCGAAACAGACCGTGGCACCAGAACAAGCAGTATTGCGAGACGCAGCAAAACACTTTCGGAATGAAGCTGAAGCAAACTACATTCTCGATAAAATGAAGGATTTAAATATTGTTCATCTTCTAGATGGCGTATGTTTATGTTTTCAGATACAGTGGCGCGGCATGAGGTTTGAGTTTTATGTTATTTTTACGTCTTTATTCTGTGAGTTTATTGGCTAGTCGCAAAGCAGAAATCCAGAAATCTGACCCATGTAGACTCCCATTTTTTCCCATTAACTGATTACTCAAGTGCATGCAAACGTGTTGATCGGAATACTGAAAAAAATCGGATTTTCTGCAGTTATCGGATTATTACGTGCATGTAAACACACTCAATATGGGTGCCTTGTAGTTCCTGTTCCATACGTTATAAATTTTTTAAAGACACTTGCACATTTACCAAAGTTCAGCAAGCAGCTGGAAAGAAATCTGAGTCAGAATGTTTCTGTACAATTAACCATTTCACATCATACCATTCTGAATGACTTTGTTTACATCTCAACAATTGAATTAGCCTGCTAGTTAGGCTAGCTCTACCAATCAGCATCACTCTACTGTTCTAGTTAGCACTGTTAAGCAATTGTTACTGGATCGGTTTATTGAGTTATGAAGTGAGAATTATTTCATAGGTCAATGACAAATAAGAAATGTAATTAGTAAAACCTTAAAAATTATGTGCATTTTTTATATCTATAAAATATATATCTATTTACATTTACATCATTTACATACATTATATAATATTTCCACATTTCTGTGGTTTTCCTGAGGTCAGACCACCTGACATGGTAAACTGAACCATTTTAACCATGACCAAAATGTTTTAAAGGGCTCCTGACCTTGGCATTGCACCATGAAGACCACTTGTAATATGCTGGCCTCTCTTTCGTAAAAGTATGTCAAAATAAAAGTCCTTTGCTTTTGGTTGCGCCATCTGTAATTTTAGGAAGTAAGAACTTGCGGACAAATGTTTTCAGTGAGTTGAGTACTTTTAAAGTTGCCTTATTTTGCAACATGTTTTTTATTTTAAGTTTTCAAACAGAAAATCATGCCAAACTATTTTATTTAGAGTTTTATACTAAACTAACTAAATTACCTATTTTTCAAGTTTACGTAATCAACATATATGGTTCGACAGTTGCACCACTCAACATTTTAAAAATACAATAAACTTTATATGGATGTACTACAAGTTGTTTTACATATAATAAGTATAGTTGAATAATTAAATATGTGTCATGTATTTATTTAACTCATTTTTGGGAAAATAACGGACCCAAAAAATGCACCTCGTGTCAGTGACCGTCATATCATTTACTTGTGCATGAATTTCTCTTTGTTTATTAGATGCCGTATTTTGTATTTAAGACAAGCCCCTTTTTACTTAACGTGCTGTGGCCCTCTGAAAGCTTGAAGTCTGTGGAAATGAATGTGCCATAGTCTCAAAAAAAAGTTAGGGTTATGTTATCTTATGTTCTACAAAACAGTACCCCCTGATATCTCCAGCCCTACTAATGATTTCCTTTGTAATTTACAGTCTTAGATATATTTGAACACCACTTACATTAACTTGTTTATATATTTTCAAATGCAAGCACTGTCTGAGGTTGTGTTTCTGAATTCATGAATTGCAGGACTGGCTGGATTTTTCCCCTTGCATCCCATGACAATAACAGAGGCAGAGCGTCAGAGAAAAGCAGCTTTGAAAGACGAAGTTAAAGCGCAGAATGAAGACCAAGAAGAAAAACAGGCAGAGCAGTAGACTGTCTTTACTGTCATTGCCTAAGCAGCACCTGCTTTGGGTTATTATGTCAAATGAACTGTTCTTACACTGTCAAAATAATGTTACCCTGTCATGTCTTTGTACCATTCTGAATGGCTCTTAGTGTTCTTGTTGCCCCAGAGCTCAGGTCAGATATGCTGTGCATTTAGAGCTGTTCTCTCCAACGTGAGAAAATAAAGGTTGTTTTATGTTGCTACTAACTTTCCAATGGAAGTTTAAAATGTATCTTTTTTTTTGTTGTTTTTTTAAGTCTCGCTGTTTCACACTCTAGCACTGTCACTATACAGCGTTCAATTCCCCGGCTGGGCGACCAGGGTCCTTTCTGTGTAGAGAACAAATTTGTTACATGTAAGAAGCCTTCTAATAACTACAATGAATAACAATGTCCTAACATCAAGCGGCATGAATGAGCAATAACAACAAAACCAAAATGCTACCATTGTAATCAATAAAACTGTTTATACCACCCACACACGGTAGAGCTGTTTTTGGCAGATGCCCTGTTTCTGTTGTTGATGCTCCACCTTAACAAATACCCCAGTTAAGTGAGCAGCCTTTTGTGGTATTTGTGTATTATTTATAATAAAAATTATTATTGTAAATAATAGGCATAATTAGGCCTGCCTAATTGATTGTAGTGCAAGGCAGTGTATGAAATGTTGAATTAAAAAAAAAAAATGTGTGTGTATATATATATATATATATATATATATATATATATGTGTGTGTGTATGTGTGTGTGTGTGTATGTATATATATATATATAGTACTTCTAAATGTGGCGTTACTGGCACTCTGGTGCTTTGTGTCAGTCAAATTGTGTATAATTTGCATCTCTTCCATTTGTTTTTTAATAAGTCAGTACCTGCTATTGCATCAGTTGAAACACACTCAGATATATCTTTAACATCCACACCCCACAATTGATACCAGCTGTCATAATCCAGTCACAGCTCCAGTTCTCTTCACTGGTATTTAAGATGACACTAGCTCTCCTAATGCTGCTGGCTGTAATCTATATATCGGATATATATAGGATTATGTCATCTTTGTCATAAAAAAACTTCATATCTCAGAAATGTTCATTTTCCAGGTGGAAAATTTTGGAACATTTCTATTGGTCCGTTGGTCCAGTGTTCACAAAATGTGATTGTTGTTCTTTTCCAAATAGTACAAGAAAGAAAAATGAAAGGTTTTGAAATGACAGTCAGGACAGTGAAATGAAAGCTAAAGTAGAGCAATGGAATCAATGAGTGTTGCATCAATTCCTCTATCGTTCTATTGTTTGATTAACTTCATCCGATACTGTGTTATCAGCTCTTCAAACATGAAAACTAAACAGACTGAGTGCAGGCTAAAGGTAGATGAAATGTTGGGCTGGAGCTGGGTGTGTATGTAATCCTCGTTAGTGTCTTGTTCAGCTTCCGCTGATGTTTACATGCAAAATGTTCAGAAGCAAAATGTAGCCAATCGTCATCTTACATTTTTGTTTTCTCACATATTTCTCACAAAACTAATCATGGCAAGTTGGATAGGGATATACCCTTAGACTAAATTGTAGGATGGGTGAGGTTGACTACTGACGTCTGTCGATAAATTTATACAGCTTTGACCTTTGGACGATGGAGCTTGACATAGTTAATGATAAGGTTTTACACCATCATAACATGGGAGGCAACCAAATAAAGTCCCTTTTGTTTACAAAGAACTTTCCCTAGAGGACATGTGAGTGACTTCAAATGGGAAATCTGGTCACACTTTATTTTTATGGTCTACTTGTGCTGGAATTCAGGGTGGTTTCTGCTTTACGCTAGAACAGAGGTAGGACTAAGATGGAACCAAGGATGAAGACTTCATCACAGGAAATGGAAGGTAGAGATGGTAACTTATAGGACATCAGACTGGAAAGAGAAAGAGCTTTAGGCACAGCCCTCATCCCAGAATTTCATAACTCAGCATAACAATTTCATTACTCGTTTGAATGAAAGTGTCCTTGCATTATTTCTTGGAGTTCTTGAAAATGATCTGCCAATAAAATTACTATAATGATATTACAACAAAATGGAATTCCTTGCATTGCATTAATACTAAAGGTAGTGACTAACCTGAGAGAACAGGTTTCTTCAAAGAACTTAAATGTACTGTTAAGAATCCAAGAGAAAACAGGACTCCTCCAACAACTGCACAATATCCTGGTAGAAAACCAAACCTGTCCCCCTTTAGATAAGAAGCTTTACTATTTCAGAAAGAGAAGAAAATCAAGAAAGTCTCCTGAAAAGAGTGGAAACACTTAATACTGAAGAATCTGAAATTATATAAGTTGAAGCTTCTATTTTTTGTGAAATATATGTTTTCTGCTATATATATAATTTTTTTATAACATTAATAACATTTTTGTTTTTAATCACAGGTTTGATCCTGTAATCATTTATCCCAGATACAAAAACATTTTAGATCATTCCACTTAAAATTAATACTAATTGCTAGAAAACTTTCCTAAATCAATTTCAAACATTATGTGAATTATCCGAGTCATGATGAAATGACTAGTGCTGGTGATCATAACCAGTGGTCATGATGTCTACAATCCAAATATAGCCTTTTTATTTGCTATCCAAAACCACGAGTGTACCTACATTGCCTTACAATGCCCTGCATGTATATCTCCATCATGAATGTATTTTTTAAAAATATGTTTTTGGTCATAAGCTTATCGCAGAAGTATTGTAAAACAGTGTCTCAGGCATCAGGCAGCACATTCTTAACCATGTAATAACTTCCTTTGTTGTGGCTTTTAGAGGCACTAAACTGCTCAGACAGCTGATTCCCATCACCACCACTGTCAACAACTCTGACTAAGTTTCTCTAGAACAGCTTATTGTACATCAATCCACTCTGAATGACTTTGTTTACATCTTAATGATTAAATAATGCAGGAATTTAGAAAATTGGAATTTTCCTTTAACTGTCAGGTTTTGGACACTAGCAGAAAGTTAATATTATATTATGGGCATAATGCTCATTGTATCAAATATGTTGCTAAAATACAGCTAAACTTGAAAAGCAATATAACAGTATGTCAATATCACTGTATACAGATGTAGACAATATGTCACCCAGCTCTGGATTTATGTATATAATTTCAATTCAAACAGTGACACATCCATCAAATTTTCATCTGACATCACTCTTTTTGCTGTTTTTCTGAAGTTGATTTCAAGGCCTTATTAGCCTCAAATTGCAAAGTGCTATTGTAGACCTATGAGTTATGGAAAATGATGCCTTTGTGTTTACGTCGGCCCAACCTAGCAACCCCAAGATGAATCACAACTGTAGTAAATCTGGAAAAGGCATTTTCTTTGATAAAACATAAAAGAACAAATACCAAAGCATATTTCCTTGTTCTTAAGCAAGATTTATATTGAGATCTGTATCAAATCAGCAAACAGAGGTGTGGATGAGTACAGATCACCAGCATTCTTTCACATTCAGACTCACTGTTTCTTGGTATTTGTCTAATGTAATCATCACATTTATGAGCTCCACATGCATCTGTATAACACTGTGTAATAGACTGACCTTCCTTGAAAGGAGCTATTTATTTTTTACTTTTACAACTCCAATCAGTTCGTTGGGACTGATTCAGCACATTAACTCATGCTTCATTGCCATTGGAATGCAGTGATGCACGGCAACCTTTTTTAATATGAACGAGTTCCATAAACATATATAAACTTCTATGAAAAAGCTGCAGATCAAAACTGATCCTGCATGTCTATGGTTTGGAAACATTTGCCCTTTGCCTCGCACAGTACAAATGACCTCTGACATTTGACATTCAGTTACTGTAATTCATATTTACAGCACTCACACTGTAATGTTTGTTTACAGTAATGACATACTGTACTGTGCATATTGACAGCAGTGTGTTGCTATTACTACATATATATATATATATATATATATATATATATATATATACAATATATCGTGTGTGTGTGTGTGCATCTTAGGATTTTTACATTTGCTGTGAAATTGCATCCTAAATACAAAAAAGAATCACTTGTTTCATTTCTGTTTTTAGAAATACAAACAGCTGTTCTTTCAAAAGCTAACAGGCAAACAGCTCCTATAGAAATTTGAGGATGTTTTTTGACATAAATAAGAGCTAGCACATAAATTTGAATCGTTGTTTGAATGAGTTTTTTATCCTGATTTTACATATCACCTGATTCTACAGCAGCTAACTGATCTCACAGTAAACTCCTGACAGATACCTGTTGACTGGATATAAATCAAACTTTTGCGAAGGTTTACCCACCAGATTTTAGTGCTGAAATGAGCAACTATTAACAGTTTTGAAATGTGAAAAGAGAACATAGTCTCATGATCGGTAAAGTTAGTTTCATTTTCGCATAAACAATTACTTTGTTCAAAAGCTTTCAAGAGCCAAATGTTAATATTTGTAAATTATTTTCATTTTGAATTAAGCCAATCAGCTCCTCCTTAGTTTTCATGTGAAACTGCTGAGATTACATTGGAAATTACTTTGGAAACATGTTTAACAAAGTCCAAGCCTGATGCACTAATATGAAACCTTATGAGCCAGTAAAGGTCTTTTAGCAGACATAAATGATGTCCAGTCATCAGAGTTATTAGAGTTATTGTTAATAGCTTCTATGTATAGTTATTGTTAATGAACTTGTCACCATGATCACTGCTCATTATTATACTCAAACTCAAACAATTCATACTGTACAAATATCTTTATGTCTTTATGTTAGAAATATTTCCATATATTGCTCCACTTAGATTTGGCCATTTTGCTAAAAGTGAGATCAGACTGTTGGTTTGAGGCACAACATGTTTTGAATAGCTCATTCTCAAATGGAAGTACAAATAGGACATAAAGTGCAGACAACTGAGTGGCCTATAATCTTTGCCTTGTGCTAAAGCTGTTGTAAATTATAAGTCTTTAAAAAGACAAGTAATCCATAAGTAACAAAACATAATCAGATTACATTATTTTAAGAAAACAGACCTTTGGATTAGGTCACAATTACATTTTTAGCAGGTATTCAGTAATCTGTAACTGAATACCTTTTTAAAATAACCCTTCCAACACTGATTGTTCAAATAATACTGCAGTAACCATATTGATACCATATAAATGTGCCTGTGTTTTTCACAGAATTAAAACATGTATAAAGCTGTAAAACACTTTTAAAGTATCATACTGGCTTGAACACAGTATATTATTGTAGAAATTACAGATTTTGTTGACAGTGTATATTTGCTTTTAACGTGTAGAGAAAAGTGGAAGGTCCACAAAGGATTCTCTTATGCTTATTTTTTCCCTAGAATTGTACACACAAGCCAAGAACCAATGGGGAACCTTATTTAAGATTGCAGTTGACTGGACAGCACATTGACTAGTGACACATTTGGCAAAAAGGGTTCTATATAATACCAAAACAAG